TGCGTACGCAAGTTTCTGGGCTCAAATTGTGCGTACGCAAGTTTTATAAATCCGACCCCTGGTCATTGTAGGTCATTGTGCCGATGATGGGTCCGTTTTTTAGTCCCAAAAACTTTATTTCCACGATTCTTTAAACATTTTGGCTTTATTCTTAAAATTTAGAAACAAATCTTTGTTTTCTTTTGTCTCAGTGGCTTTAATTTGTTGTATAAAATGGCCACAAACCAAGTTTTTACAAAATGCTTTTTACTCTTGAGTGACTTCCTGGATAGCTAATCTGTGCTTTTACTTGAGTAAAAATATGTTGAAGTAGTGCTACTCTTACTTGAGTACAAGTTTTGGGTACTCTACCCACCTCTGTCCAAACATAATTTTGTTGACTCAATTTAAACTTATTTATTTATTTTTTTTATCCATTCACCTTATGGAGACATGTACCAGTCRAGCTGCCTTCATGGTTAAACATTTGTCTGTAAGTATTTGTTGAATGTTATGATTTTGCTTGTAATATTAACCCATATATAAATTTAATGAAGATGATTTCAAGTAATACATTTCTTGTTTTAACTTGCTTTCAGAGTAAAACAGTTTTTGAGTTTGGCCAGTAGAGGACAGCATTTTTTTTAAATGTGCCTACCTCATTCTAGTGCAGAGGAACCCAAAGTGGGGCCCACTGGGCAAATTTGGCCCGCCAAGCCATTTGATTAGGCCCACTAATAGTTGTAAAAGTTACTAAGTTGTAACCTGTCATTCTATGTAGAAGAAGCACAGTATTTCCATTGGTTAAATGATGACTATATGAAGGGCTGTAGTGCAGGTAGTTTTCATTCATGGTGCTGACTTTATTTTTGATATATAAGGATTAAACATGAAACATGAAGTAACAAGAGATATTTATATCAGATTTAACCCCACATGGAGATTTGCACACTTTATAAGGCCACAGAAATGTTTTTTATTCATTTATGTCCCATGAGCCTTTGCTACTTGAACATATGGCAGACTTTCTCCAAGTGCACACAATAAAACAAAAGTGGGCCACTGCACTGGCTGCTAGCTTCGATGTTAAAAATAAAGCACTTTACTTAAAAAGTATTTTATGTATGATGTTACTGCATTTGGCCCACAGCCCTGGATAGACTTTCATTTTGGCCCTCTCGGGGAAAATGTTTGGGCACCCCTGTTCTAGTGTGTGCTTGTGTAGTTGGAATTAGCTGTGGCAACCAAATTTTCTTTATTTGTAGGTGTACGCAAAAATAAATAAATAAATAAATAAATAAATAAATAAATAAAAAGTCAGGCTCAGTCCCTGAGTTGTACAAAAGAGGGTTAGGGCCACTGGGGAAAAAATAAATAAATTAAAAAAAATAAATCTCAGAATTCTTCTGACTTTAGTCTCAGAATTCTGACATGTTAAACACAGAATTCTGAGATAAAATTCATAATTCTGACTAAGTCACTTTAAGAAAAAATACCCCCCACCCTCAGAATTAGGAAAAAAGTCATAATTCTGAGATTAAAGTAAAGTCAGAACTATATTTGTTGTTTCAGTGGCCCTAATCCTCTTTTATAAAGAGTTGATGGTGGCAATGCAACAAATTCGTTTTTTAGCCCAATGCCAACCAAAATCAACAACAATATATGAAGCCCCTTAAGGGACATGGTGGGGGAAAAAAAGAAAACTGGATCCTGAGAAAGAAAGTCAGGATCCTACGGAGCCCGCGAGGGGACATGGAGGATTTTTTTCTTTTGCGTTCCCATGCAATATCTTTGTGTTACCTCACAATACTTTTGGGTTACCTCGCAAAACTGTTTTGCGTTCCCACTCAAAATTTTGTTTTGAACATGTACTGAATTAAATCAGGCTTTATTTTTTGAAATATCCGAAATATCAGATAATTATCGTATTTGTACCATAATTTTGCCCTCTGTACGATGTACGATCAATAATCCCAAAAATCCCATAA